TGACTCGTTTGTCTTTCTCTAGTATTAGTGGTGGGAATATAAACTAGTTCAACCACTATAGAAATCAGTGTGCAGATTCCTCAAAAAACTAAAAGTAGAAATCCCATTTACTCAGCTGTTCTATATATAAATATATAAATATATTTATATTCCCCAAAACATTTCATTACTCTTGAGAGCAGAAAGAAAGCATATTTCATATTGCTAGTGATAAAAACACCCTCAAAAGTTTTCCGTTGATTTCTGCCTTACTATAATTAACGTGTTGGGTAATGGAGAAGAAGAAAGTTAAAGTTTACTAAGTGTACTAAGAGGAGATATGCAAAATAGTGATTTAGAGTTTCTCTTACTTTCTTAAACTTCCTATGTAGGACTGAAAGAATAGATGCATAGATGCACTTTCAAGGTTGCTAATTAGTAAGCCAGTAAAGCATGTCTTCTATGGAGTTATATCAGGAATCTGCGCTTTGTGAGTTTGTTACAGTAGAGGCTAGTTTGATTTCTGGGGAGAAATATGACTTTAGTAAGGAGTTTGAACTGTAGACCACCTTGAAGACTAATTCTTTTTTAGAATCTGTGTTCTCATTTAGAAAAGAAGAATATTATTTGCCTCAATAAGATGATTATGAAGATTACATAACAGAATACATCTGAAGCCCAAAGCACAGTGTGTAACACACAATAAATATCTCTTAGAAGAGAGTGACAGAGGTGGGTGTGGTGGCATGCACCTATAGTCAGCTACTGAGGAGGCTGAGGCAGGAGGATTATTTAAGCCCTGAAACTTGAGACCAGCCTGGGTAACCCAGCAATTCTGCTCAATGTTAACATTTTATGAGACGAGTTTATGAACAAGTTTATGAGATGAGTTTATGAAGTTATTATTTTTCTTTTAATTAATCTTGTACACAATTTTAAGATTCTTTACTAAAACATACTAGTGTTTATGCTGTTCATTCTGTTACAACCTTTAATAGGCAAAGAAAAGGCTTTTATATACTTCTTAAATGAACTGTTTTGTTGTTTACTCAGGGACTGAATTAAGAGGAAATATTTTCATACCCACGGATTTATTAAGATGGACTCTATTAAGAGTAAGACAAATTATAAAGCATATCTTAATCTGTGTACAAATTGAAATATGTTACAAATTAAAAAACCAATCAAGAGGCTCCAAGGTTCTGAACCCTATTTATCTAGTAGATGTAGATCTGTTGGAGAAAAACAAAGAAAGATCATAGAGTTTGAATCTGTGCATATGTAAATAGTCACAATGGCACCATAATCTGGAAGTCAACAACAATCTTTTTGAAGAAATACTTAAGTCAGCTAGTTCTGGGTAATTTACTTAAAAGACTATCAGGGTATATGTTAAGAGGACTAGAGATTTTGACATGCTTCACTTCAATTCCCTCTGTTCTATTCATCAGAGATTTGCAAAATGGTGATTACCTTTCTGTGAACTAAAACATTCTAGAATTATTTCCCCAGTAGAATTTTTAGGTTATTACTATTACTGGAGGAAAATCTAGCAACAATTTCCTAGAAAGGAAACCACCCCCATTTAAGAGAAAGAAATACAAGGGAAGGTGATGAAATGAACTGCAAATTAAAACTGAATTTCATATAACCCCATCAGGGAAAACATTTCAAAATCTGAAAAATATTTGCAATACTTAATTCTGTACTTATATTTATAAAGGTTTATTCTGAAATTGTAATTTGAATTCTATAATGTGTTTTACGCTCACATATTCATCTCCTTCTTACTTAAAGCAGGGAGAAAATGCAACAGTATCAGAGAGTCCCCAAGAAGAATTAAGTAATTACAGTATGAGTAAATGGTGAGAAATTAGGTAGCTATTAGAACTGATGTCTGCAAATAGCTCTGAAAAATGAGGAATATTTATATTAAAATTGTAACCTTTTTTATATGCATCAAAATGTAAATATTAACACAGCAACCCATCATATTTACAAGCAATTAATGTTCTCAGATCTAAATATTTTTAAAAATACTAGAGTGCAGTGCCATAGCTAGTGTAATTATAGTGTTTCATAGGACTTTTCTTTTAAGCAAAAAGGTTATCCTAAAATACCTTATTTAGTATTAAACAAAAGTATGGAAAACAAAGTAAACAATAAACTGTATTTAAAACCACACTCTAGTTTATATAAACTCCAAGGAGTAAAAACAGAAAAATAAATTTTAGTGAATTGGGAATTACTTCTCAAAAATGTCAGGTAATAAAAGGAAAAAAAATTAACATTAGTTTCTCTTTGGTCAACTTGTAAGTCCTGTGCCATTTCTTCTTTATTGTAAAGATGTACTGAATATCTACTATCTACTGAACATTTAGAAAAGGATATACAGAAGAATAGTGGATCTCTATTCCCTGACTTTGTTGCTTTTATGTGATTCCAGGTAGTACTTCAATTTGGGTGAAAAATGCCGCTAAGGCAAAAAATAAACAAAAAAGGAAAACATTCTTCTTGATTGAAAGTGGAGTCCTATCTCTCACCATATACTGAATTAAAATCAAAATGGATCAAAGATCTAAACATTAAAACAGAAACATTAAATCTATTGGAAGATAAAGTAGATAGAACACAGTGTAGGAAAGGATTTTCTAAACAGAACCTCAATCATACAAGAAATAGCAGTTAGAATCAATAAATGGGATTATAGCAGGCTAAAAAGCTTCTGTATAGCAAAAGAATAAATCAATAGAGTGAAGGGACAACCTACAGATGGAGAAAATATTTTTCCAGGTACTCCTCAGGCAGAGAACTTATATCTAGTTTATTAAAAAAAAAACAAAACAAACCTCAAAAACAACAAAAATTAAACCACCTAAAATTTAAGACCCACTAAAAAATGGGCAAGAGAAATGTGTTCACACTTCACAGGGGAAGAAATACAAATGGTCAACAAATATATGAAAAAATGTTCAACCATCTCTGGCCATTAGATAAATACAAATTAAAACAACACTAAGATTCCATCTTACTCTGGAATGAATGACAATCATCAAGAAATCAAGCAATAAAAAATGCTGGTGTGGCTGTGGTGAAAAAGGAATCCTTCTGCCCTGTTGGTGGTAATGCACAATAGCACAGCCATTATGGAAATCAGTATGGAGATTTCTCAAACAACTGAAATTAGAAATTCCACAGGACCTAGCCACAACCCTGCTAAGTATCTTCCTCAAGTACTATGTGTTACATGCATGTCAATGTTTTTAGCAGCACAATTTGCAATAGGTAAATCCTACAAGGAGCTTGTATAACCATCAGCAGATGATTGGGTGAAGACAATGTGTTCTCTCTATATATATCTATATATAATGAAATACTTGGCTATAAAGAATGACATATTTGAGATATTTGTAGCAAAATAGATGCACCTGGAAAATATAATATTGAGTGAAACACACCAGACACAGAAGTTTAAATACTGTGTGGTATCTCTCATTTGAGCGAGGTAAAGTACAGACAAAGAAAAGGATAAAGAATGGAGGGGGAAAAGGGCTGGATCTTGCAATAGGGAAGTGGTCCAAGGGAACCAGGGCAAGGGGGAAGGAGGAGGGGAAGGGGAAATAAGAATAAAGATAGGCCATGTACAGAAACCTAACAACCTCAATTAAAGTAAACACTATAGGCCATAACGTGAACTAAGATAAATAATAAAAACAGGAATGACAGATGAGATGGAGGAGCTGGAGGAGGGAGGAGAGTGGAAGAGAAGGGGAGGGGAATTCAAAAAAAAGAAAGAAAGAAACATGCTGGAATATGTTCATGCAACCGTTCCCTAAGAGATCGTAAACTATGTGAAGTGCAAGTATGTATGAATAAACTTTTAAAAAATGGAACGTATATTCCCAGCATGCTGTATTTTCGTCACATTAAAGAAATGAACACTTTAAATGTAAATAAATAAAATATTTTTGAGTTTAATCATTAAAGTTAAAACTTTCTTCTTGCCCCCTTTGAACAAACAAACAAAAGCAGCAAATAAACAAAAAACTCATTCCTCTCTATTGTGCAATTTGTGTTCCAGAGTTTCAAAGTGCTTCCAGCTGTCTCAGAGCAAAGAATCAGAGATGACATACTCCAACAAAGTCCTATTTCCTATAATCTAAGTGTTGTGGTTAATTGCAGCTTGACTGCAATGAATTATCTTGTCCATTAGCCTCATTTGTTGCCATAAGAATATGTTTACTCCTGGAAATTGGTTCTTGGGGGCTGAGGTTTCTCAGCCAAATATATGTCTTTCCTAACAATGCTCCAGGAAAGCATAGCCATTTGATGAATCACACTAAAAAAGGTGAAATTAATGTCATCCTGCTGAGTATGGCCTCTTATGCATCCAGAAGAAACTAGGAAAAGATAAGTGTAGTCCAAAATTCTGCCCGATCTGACATTAGCATCATCCATAGTCTGACTCTGAGATGCCTTGACTAAATGTGCCATGTTTGTTGAGGAAGTTCTTTTTAGTCTTAGTTTACTGAGAGTTTTTAAAAAATAGATGCATATATACACATTTCCATTGCCATATACATGTGTGTAGTATGTACATCTTTTTTTCCATTTAAATTACATTTTATTTAAATAAATTGAAAGTTATTACTTTTTGATTGAAACCAGTATCACTTGCAATAATTGTAAGGTAGCATTAATAATCAGATAAAATCAGCGAAATACCACTTCATTTTAGGTAATCCCTTTACTTATGGAAGGTCTTTTTGTATGTTAAAAATTGTAGTCTGGCCTGGTGGCACATGCCTGTAATCCTTGCGCTCTGGGAGGCTGAGCAGGAGGATCACAAGTTTGAGCCCAGGCTGGCAAAATTAGCAAGATTTTGTCTGAAAAAGAAAGGGGAACATGTAAAATGGGAATTAAAAGCTCATCTCTCTCATGTGGTGGATGTGAGTTCCAGTTTTTATGCAAATGTGGCTCAAGCAAAGATAAAATGTTTGAGTATAATAGATTCCACAGCGATGGGAATTCCTGGAGTGGTAGAGAGGTAGTTCTAAAGCTTGATTATATGTAATCAACAGCTTGAACAAGTAAGAGTGAGGCCAAAAGAGTGGGGATGTTTGGATTGGGCTTCAAAAGTTCTCTAAGTAGTTTCAGTATCAGGAAGGATGGTAAACCTCTATGATAGGATGTCTATATGGGAGGATGGTGATGGTGATGGCTTGGAATGCCAGGAGGGAAAAATTTCAAATCTAGTAGGAATGTTTTCCCTGTGTGTATAGGGAATGTTAAATATCGTGACTAATTGTCATTTTAAGGCCAGAATATGAATTGACTGTCAAGGAAGCTGAATATTATCTTGAAGAGCTGAAAAAAATGCTGATTCTCCCTTTCATTAAGAACAAAAAGCCTTGAATTTTCGATCTCAAATGTTCTTTTGGCTTAAAATAAAATGTTTTTTTCCCACTAAAGTCATTACATAAATGGATATTTCAAGAATGCATTTTAATAACACATTTAAAGAATGATCCAAATAATCTTATCCAATACTGCAGAATATAAATGTGAAATATTTTTTGAAAAGTTAACACAATTGCTGCCTATAAATATTGAGGCGAGGATCATAATGGCTTCTTTCAGCAGTAATATTTCAAAACACACTATACATAATCGAAAATTACATGGGTAAATAAATAGAATGCACGAAAAGAATGGGAATGTGAATCAGTTCTCTTAACTAGCCAGTTTTGATGCTCTCCCAAGTTATATTTAAAGCAACACATTTTTTTTTTTTTTCCCAGCAAGCAGTGGCTTCATGGTCTTTCATTTGTGTCTTCTCACTAATTTGAGCCATATTGTTGTCTGATAGACTTCATCTAGAAGCGAAGAGGAAGAAGAAGACTCAGAATCCACATCTTCAAAGTTGCTTAGGGGAAGCTTGGGAGGGGAGAAAGAACTTCGAATCTTAATTCAGGAGGGCAGTAATAGAAAGAGGGTGAGAAGGCTGCTATATAAAAATATGAGTTGAAGGGCTCCTGGGAAAACGTGTGGGAGAGCAGTTCCTTTAGGGGACTGGGCATTTGAACTCCCCAGGAGGGTTCCGTGGCTCCCCACTGCCCTTCCTCTAGAAGATCGCACTAGCCTTCCAGGTCCTCGCCGGGCTTCAGCGCCAGGCCCGGGGCCGTGGGCGGGGTCGCTCCGCCGGCCTCGCCCACTCCGGCGCGTTTAAAAGGCTCTCGGGGCAGCTTCGCAACTTCGACTCTTGAGCTGCAGGTCGCGGCGGTTCCGGCTCCGGACGCGAAGAGTGTAAACCTGTCCCTGGTGCCTAGGGACCAGCGGTGGGAAAGCGGGCTCCAGGCAGGGTCAGTCGCAGACGGCGCGCTCGCTCCCAGGTGCTGCCCTTCTGCAGAAACTTCCCGGAATGGAGCAGACGCAGTGTGGCAGCAGAGACCGCGGCGGCAACGGCGGAGCTC